TTTTTTTTTTTTTTAAATCTTCCCCCACCCCCCCCTTTCCCCCGGGTGAGCCGAGGGCGCTGCGCCGCCATCGCGGGGCCGGATCGCCGCCCCCTTCCCCGCCCGGGCCGCCCCCCGGCCCCGCCGCCATCGCTCGCGGCCCTTCCCGCGCCGGCCCCGACACGTGCGGCCCGCGCCCCCCGCTCCCCCCGCTCCCTCCTCAGCAGGCGGGTCACGTCGGCCCGGGGGAAGCGGCGCCCCCCGCCCCGGGCCCCGCGGGGGGCCGAAATGGAGCCTCCGCGCCGTGCCCTCCCCGCTCCTGAAGGGCACCGGCCGCGGCCCGGCCTCGCCCCGGCACTGCGGAACCCTCTCGGCGGGGCCGCGAGCGCCGCGCCCGCCGCCATCGCGGCCCCCGCCCCGGCCCCGCCATGCTGCGGGCCCCGCGCCCCCCCTTCCCCGGCCGCCGCCGCCGCCCATGGAGGCCGGTGCGGGGCGAGGGCGGGGGGAGGGGGGCGGCGGGGGCGGGCGAGCGGCGCCCGCGCCGGGCCCGGGGCCGGAGCCGGGGCCGGTCCCGCAGCACTGCGCACCCACCTGCCCATGTTCTGCCTCCCCGCGGCTGACGGGAGGCCGGGGCCGCCGCCGCCGGGGGGCTTGCGGTTGTTGCCGGCGGGCTGCGCCGCCGTCGCCGCTTGCTTGAGGGACATGACGAGGAGGGAGGGAGAGCGCCGGGGGTCGCGCCGGGCTGGGTGCGCTCGGCCGGTCCGCGCTGCGCTGGCGGGGCCGGGGCGCCGCTGGCTCGGCCGGTTGCTCCCAAACAGTGCGAGCGGGGCGGAGGGAGCGGAGCGCGGCGCGGAGGGATCCGCGGGGGGGGGCGGGCGGCGGCCGGGCCGCGCCGCGGGGCGAGAGCAGCGGCGGGGCCGGGGGGCGCGGCGACCACACCCGCGGGCTCGGGGCACCCCCGCGGTGCCGGCGGAGCGCGGCGGAGCTGAGGCGGCGGGCGCGGGGCGGGCGGCGGCGCGGACTCTTTACGGGAAGTCGGAGGGCGCGGCGGCGGTGCTGCGGCGGGTGAAGGGGCGGGGAGGGAGGGGGGGACACGTGAGGCGGCGGCGGCGCGGGACGGCGGCAGCGCCCGCCCGGCCCGGCCGTGAGGCCCCGCCAGGGTCGCCGGAGTCCCGTCGGCCGCTCAGCCCCCTCCGTGCCCACCGGTGACACCGGGCGGGTCGGTCCCGCCGGCCCCCGCGGGCCGCGCTCCCCGCGCTCAGGGCCCGCAGGCCGCGGCCTGGTGGGGCCCGGCCGCGCTCGCCCCTCCCCGGGCCCCAGCGAGCGGCGGTGGGAGGGCGGCGGGCTCGGCCCGCAGCGCATCGTTCAAAAGAAACCAAGCGTCGAGAGACAACGAAATGGAGGAAAAATGGCCGAGCCCCGGCCGGCTGCGGAAGGCCGGTGGAGGACGCCAGGCCGTGCCGAGCCGCGCTGCCCCTGATCCGCAGAGATCCCGAGCCATCGCTGCCAAACACATCCCTGCTCCTGGGGGAAAGCAAGATGGGGCCGGAGGATGGCTGCTTCCCCTGCAGTGCCCCTCCATCTTACAGATTTTGGAGCAGTCAAGCTTTCCCCTTGTAGTAAAGAAATTTAAATTCGCGCTGAGCTGATGGATAAAATATTTAAGCTCAAGATACCAGTTCTCCCCTCGCTCCATGTTACCTGTCCACCATCACCAGGCTCCCTGCAGAAATCCAGGGTGTGTGTGGAAACCTGCTTGGTGCAGAGTGGGAATTTCACCAAAGCAAAACGCATACACAAAAATAAAGCCTGGTCTGTCCTATTAAAAAAAAGGAAAAAAAAAATGCACATACAGGATTAGTAAGAGCAGATGCAACTTGAAAACCAAGAGCTAAATTGATTTATAGCCATGGTTACTCGAAATGCTCAGAGTTTAATCTATTCATAGAAATGCTCTAGAAATCCCACAGGATTCCAATGGAATAAAAAGGAGCAGTGCTCTTAGGCAGGCATTATTTATACACCTTGCTCCTAAAGCAACAGCTTTTCCATGCAGTTGGAAGAGTTGTGGGTGGCAGCACACAATGGTAAAAAGATAACAAATATTGAACAGCTTTCTTAAATTAGCATTTTCCTTACATTTCACCTTTTAAACTGATTGTTTTGTTTTACCTCACAGGCCCAAGTAACCTTGTGGTTAACACTTTATGAAACTAGATGACAGATCCTACCCGAAATGGGCTCAACATGAAGAATTTTTCCATTGAAAATATTCTAAACAGAGCAGGTGATTTAAGGAAATTACTTTTTTTTAATGACCTTTTAGTGAACTCACGAGATGCTTCACTATTTCACAGCCATGGAACTGAGAAGGACACTGAGGATTTCTGGAGCCCAAGAGTTTCTGGGGGAGACATCAGCACCTGCAGAGCCAAAGGTTACCACTGGCACAATTTTGGGAGCATTTACTGTAAGAGCAGGAATCTGGTTTACTGTAAGTGATGGGATAAATAAATCCCTAAGAGCAGCTAAGAAAAATCCTTTATTTATGTAAAACCCACTAGCATGAAAAAGCACTTTTATAAGACAATATATAACAATATAGGAGTAATAATAACAATAATAATAGTTGTAGTATATGGTAGTATATAAAAAAAATATATAGGGCTGTTAAAGAGTGCCCAAAAGAGGCTATGAAGATGTGGAAGGGTCTGTGTGGGGCCAGAAGTTGGACTGGATGATCCTTATGAGTTCCTTCCAATTCAGGATATTCCATGATTCTATGAACCAACCTCTTTAGGGTGCTGTTTATAAATTCTACAGCTTTTGGTTAGTCCTGAAGCTTGAGCAACTTTGAAAAGGAATAAAGAATAAAAAGCACAAGGAAGTCTGATAAGAGAGGGAGTAGAACCCATCCAGGTCACTTAACATGAGGTTTTTAGAGGATATCACTTCAATGCTTTTCCAGCCTGGAATGTTCACAGCTCACAGCAGTAAGTGACAATTTCTGTGGCTGAAGGTTAAGAACCATTAAAGCACCTGCAGCAGTTTGAAGGGGCTGGAGGGGCAAAGATTGAGCCCTTGATAGTCAAGAATGTCAAAAAAATACAGAAACAAGTTCCACAGGCAGAGACAGTCTCTAAGACATGACATGAACACACTAAAGCACATTTTAGGGTGACATTACGTGCTCAGAAAGCAGGGTATGAATAGGCTGGTGTCCACATCCTCAGTCATGACTCAAGAGCAGTTGCAGTTTGACTTGTTTTCCCCTTCAATGTATTCTTTGTTTTGTTAAGCTCTGTTTGGCTTTCGTTGTGCCCTCCCTTTTTCCTTTGTTGAGCATCTTTATAAAAAAGCAGATTAAAAGTAAATATAGAAGTGATCATTTAAAATAGCTCAGCAATGGCCACCAGAGAAGCTGTAGAGTGGTTTCCAGTGGCAGCCAGCTTCTCCAGGGACACTGCTTTTCCTGTGTCTGCAGTGAACTCCCCAAATTCCCAGTGTAATGGGATTCTGCTGCTGTTAGGGTACAACATTCCCTTTACTTCTTCCTGGATATGCGTTTTTTGGTTTTTTGATAGCCCACCATTCCCGATATTTATTATTTGATGGCTTGGTTTTATCAATTTTTCACCCTTTTTTTTTTTTGCTCTTCCCCATCGTTTATAGCTGATATTTTGGATGTCAGTAACATTGTGACAAAGAGCAGCCAACAGTGGATGTGGTGGTTTAGCTGGAGAAAAATTCAGGATTCAGTCAAGAAAGAAAGGAAACAATTCCTAACGAAGAATCGTGTTCCCTTTTGCCTCTCCTGTCCACGATCCAGGTTAGAGCTGCTCCTTTCCAGGACTGCTATTTCCATCCAGATGTGTGACTACATGTGCAGGCTGTATTTGCATGTGGAGATGAATGAGGCTGATAATAGCAGCACTTAGCAGGAAGTGCCGTGTGATGTAACATTTCCTTGATCTAACCTGCTGTTCCTCTTGTGCTCCCTTCCCTGAGCTACCCAGGGTGATCCTCAGCAGCATCCAGCAAGACAAAACACGCCGGGGTACACAGGGACAGCAGCACAAACACAGGGGGTTACTTGGAGCAAAATCAGCTGCTGGAGAAGCTCAGAGAACCGAGCTTTTCCACACACGTGTTTTCCCTGAAGACTTCAGTTCTTCAGTGCCATTATCCCCACCCCTCCTCTGGGAGGGTAAAGCTTTGTGAGCAGTGCTGCGAGCACGGGGAACTCCAAACAATTGGAAGGATATTAAGAGAACAAATCAGGTGCTGTGACACACAGGCAGCGCTTCCCAGAGAGACACCATTTATCTCAGCAAAGCTGCCCCCGGTTCTGACTGATGACACGCCCCTGGCCAGACCAGAATTGGTACCACAGCAAAACCAAACCCCAAATTCCAAACCAGCCACGTGGGACAGCTGCTGCCACCTCTGCCTTTCCCTCTCACCCTGATCTTCCCATTGCCTCCAGCTCCCAAATTCACAGCTCAGCTCTGAGCAGAGACCAGCTCCCATCGGATGCAGTTTTTGATCTGCACTTGCAGTTTTATTGCCTTTTCTTCCCAATTCTCAGCCCTGCAGCTCAGTGCAGCCAGGGCATGGATGATGGATGTCCCTGCTGGGCATCTCCACCAGGAGATGAAGGGAAACGCTGGTGTCCAAGGAACTCTGGAGGGAGGCACAAAATGCTAGAGCTTGTGCACCCATAATCAACACTTAAATGATCCTTTCTCTCAATTTCCACAGGCCTTAGACACGACAAGGGCATTTCCTTCCTCACCCAGCAAAGCTCCAGGATCCATCTGATGAAGCCATGGCTCTGCAGCAATTCTTGGAACAGAGCTGCAGAGTGAGAGACACCAACCCTGCCCAGCAAAGCGCCAGGAAATCACCAACCAGGTGCTTTACGCCTTTAGATTT